TTGAGTAATATCTTTACTAGGCCTGGCTTGCTAAAAGCTTTTGAATCACTAAATGGATGTTGAATTCAACAGATGCTTTATCTGCATGAATGTTCCTCATGTTAGTTTTCTCCTTTAATTGGTTATAGAGCATTCCCATAGTTTTTGTTTTGTCTTCACGTTGCAGCAGCTTTCTGTCCTTGAGTGCCAGCAGCCCCTCCAGCAGTTAAGGCTGAGGGAGACCTTCAGTGAGAGTGAGTGCTCAGGGTTTCCTGTGAGCATCGATTCCTGAAGTTGGCTGCTAACAGCCAGGAGTTTTAGCAGACTCTGTCATGTGCACCTGCCATGACTTCTGTGTCCATGCTAAGGGTGTGATTGGCCAGCCTGACGCAGGGCGTAATGTGTGAAAATGAGACCGCATAATGTCAGGCACACACCATTTTCCTCCCACTTCCAGATGCATCTTTGCATCTGTATTGTGTATATGAAGGAAGGATGGCAGCACAGACAGCCCAGGCACATCTGGCATAGTAAGGCAGAAACCACGAGGACCTTAAGTGTTCCATCCTGAAATTCGTTGCCTAGGAACAAAGCCTGGGCCTCTGAAGATCTGGAAAAACTGTAGGAGGAACCTGTAGACTCACCTCCAGTGTCTTGTCCAGGTGGACCTTAGAACTATAGCTCAATGGGGGATAGCACTCACATCCCTGAACCAGAGCTTCCCATTTCTTGTAAACCATTGCATCCCCAAGGGCTGGCTCCTGTGAAAGGAGGTAGCTATTGAACAGTATAGGAAGACTTTGTCTCAAAAAACAGAAAAACATTCTCTGTGGGATGGAGACATAACTCAGTGGTGCAATGTGCACTTAGCATGCCTGAGGCCCTGGGTTCCATGCACAACATCCCTTAATAAAAAACAAGTAGCCAGCAGGGAAAAAGAAACCCTTCTGCACTGTTGGTGTGTAAACTGGTACAACCACTGTGGAAATCAGTGTGGAGATTCCTCGAAACACTAAAACTAGAGGTTCTATTTGACTCAGCTGTTCCCCTTCTTGGTATCTTCCCCAAAAAACTAAAAGCATCATACCACAGTGATATATACACACCCATGTTTATGTTGGCATACTTTATAATAGCTAAATCTTGGAAACAGTCCAAATGCCATCAACAGATGGATGAATGGATACAGATGTGGGGTTTTTATACAGTGGAGTCTTACTCTGCCATAAAGAAGGATAAACTTGAGACATTACTAGGTAAGCAGATGTACCTTGAGACTGTACTCTTAAGTGAAATAAATAGGACACATGTGTAAGTACCACATGCTATCTTTGGTGTGAGAAACCAAAAGTGTAAAGAAGGACCAAAATGTATAATAGTTATTATGAAATAATAAGAAAATGTTCGGGGCCAGGGAGATGGCTCAGTAGAACAAACGCTTGCCTGGCAAGCACAAGGACCTGAGTTCAATCCCCGGTTCTGGGGAGAAAAAAAATAAAAGGGAAGGGAACAAGGGGGTGAGGGAGGAAGGAAGGACAAAAAAAAGAAAGTTTTTATAAGTAAAGAGAAGAGGAATTGAAGGGCAGGAAAGGGAATGGGAATAAAAAAGACTAAAGATATATCATGTACAGGGGCAAATTTTCTATAATGAATGCTATATTTATGCATATCTAAAATGTACCAATAAGGGGCCAGCCAGATAGCTCAGCAGATTAAAGCTCCTGCTTAGGCAAATGCAAGGGCC